GAGGCTCTGGAGGACAACGTGAGGACATATGCAATTCTCCCGAGCGTGACCTTTAGCCGCCATCCTCCCACTGAAGAGCTAATTACCACCAATTAACTAATAAACGGAGGGATGGCGCTTGCGTACCTCTCTCAGCTGCCAGATGTCCCTTTGGTTCTGTCTCTGACGATTATGACTGTGTGTTTCTGTTTACCTTCTGGCTCAGCGGACCATACAGGCAGAATGGTCATTTTCTCGTGTCGTGCCTGATCCAGGATGATCAGGCGTCACATCACTCTCGGGTTCTCAACAAAAACAGCACTCAGTCTCAAGCTGCTGTATCTAACATACTGTACATATTTACATTTGTATAGAAAATTGTACAAAAGCCTTTGTCCAAAGCAGCAGACAGCTGAGGATCAGAGAGCAGGTTCCGCCAGTCCCTGGAACAGTTGGGGTTAAGGGCCCTGCTCAAGGGCCCAACGGTGAAATCACTCTGAACCAGTAACCTTCCGATCAAAAACGCAGAATCGTAATACAGAGAGCTACAAACTACACTTGTTGTTTTAAATAAGCATTTTTGGACAAGCAAGAAAATACCTGGAAATTGCCTTTAACCTGTCTTTTTAACTTCACGTTCTATTTAAAGGACATGCGTAGTGTATACCTAGATAGGAATATAGTGACATTGTGCGCAATATACCTTTCCTCTTCTGTTTTAGGTGTTATTGTAATATGCATTACCCCCTCTTTCTTTCAGAAGTCTCTCTTTTTCTCAAGTTTTAATGAGCCATGTTTTGCTCACCAAAATAAAGGCCGATAATAAAGTGTTTTAAGTGTTTAAGCTCAATGCAGTTGGACAGGCATTCTGTAAGTGGCTGGTCCCACACTGTAGGGACGCGTCACCATTCTTCCAATAAATACTCCATCATTTGGTGTTTTGCTGGCAGTGATGAAGAACATTGTTTCAGACATTGCGCTTAAGATATTCAACTGGATTGAAAGCTAGTGACTGGGACAGCCATGGGATATATTTTATATCCTCTTCATGCTTATCAAACCATGTAGTGACCACTACTGCCCTGTGGACAGGGAAACCGTCAGACTCGACACCCATCAGCCCAGAGACGTTTTACCGTATGATGAATGTGATCGCTAGAAAAGGCTTAGCATTTCTCCCCGGATTTTTTGCGTTCTAAGGGACTGGTGCCTCACTGTATATTGCACCACACGTCGACGCAAATTCTCCAGAACCTCGCAGCATATGTCACACATGAACTCATGTTCTACTTGAGAACATGGTGATGGATGACTCATCTGTCCATATGATGAATGACGTATTTTCTTCTGCTAAGTAAACCACTTCCTATGTTGTTCATTACTCCACTTCACCTGCAAATGTGAATTTTTAGGTATAATATGGGGTTTATGCAACTCCGTGTACCCTCTGTGGGGAATGCGTAAGTAAAACATTTGCAGGTAACTATGTTATTGGTTTCACTTTGTATCCGAACCAACACACTGACATCACCGATGGGAATTGGCTCTCATTCACAGTCTCCTCTTGTTGAGGTCTTTCTCTCAGGCTTCAGCTGCACCTTTGTCAGTGTCTGTGTGACATTGTCTGTATTGAATTTTAACAAGAATTATAGCTTGATTTGCTTACTCTTAACGTGCCATCATTGTACAATTAAAGTCACTTTCGCACCCAAGTTCTGTCGCTTTCACACCACACAAGAGGAACTGGGACCGTAATGTCAAATAAGTATGGGAGACACAAAAGGCTTGTAGGTTAAACTTCACGCATAATTTAATATGAAACTACACCACCACGTCAAACAAAGGAGGATAGTCAGTTGTTTGTCAGTTATTCGTTAGTTATTGGGGGGGGGGGGGGGGGATCAATCACAATCAAAACGGGACGCAGCCTGGCAAGCTTCACTTCCGGCAATTGAATTTTCTGATGCAGAAATGTGGGGATGCAAGCAAAAAAATGTATTAATCGATGCATTAAATGTAATTTAGATACAAAAATAATCCCATCTGCTCAATTTTTGCTCTGCTTTTTTCGCTGCACTTCCACATAACTTACATGTTAGTGCCAATGTTTGCCGTCAACCAATCAACGATCTATCCTGTAAGTGCCTCCCCAGGAGTGTGTGTTCGAACGAAAAGTTTGTTGCCGGTGTCCGAATTCAGAGGCGGCATCCTTGAAAGGACGCAGTTTACAAAGGTGCAGCATCGGTAGGCTGTATTCTTCAGAGGTCTAACAGAAAGTGTTGTCAAATGAGACGGTCTGGCCTACGGATAATTTCCTATTTGCGTCACCAGCTGTTCCCACCCTTACCCTCGAGTCACGAACCGCCACTCCGTCAGTCGTGTAGCTGGGACACTCCCACTTTACCCCTGTGCAGTCAATCTTGGAACATGTTGGGCTGTGAAAGATCCATTGAGTGCATCTTTCACAGAGTGAGGAAAAAAAGGGCGCATTTCTGACTGCGTTTGATGGATCCTTCGAGATGGGACAGCCTGCTCACGCCGCCGTGACGCATTCGGTCTTCGAATGCAGCCTTAGAAGGACGCTGCCCCTGAATTTGGACAAAGCCCTAGTCTGGAGTAGGTCCTGAAAAGGGTTCTGAAACTGCCTCTAAGGAACTAAAAAGTTCCTGTGGTGTGAATATGACAAAAGTCCCTGGTTCTGGAAAAAGGTTCTGGTTCCAGAAAAAAGAGTTCTAGCAGTGTGAAAGCTCTTTAACTATGGCAGGTGTATCCTAAACAAGATCAAAGATGTTCATTGGGGGATTATGAGAAGAAATGGAGGGAGTTACTTTTTTTGTCCATTTTAGTTCACATTCTCTATTTTTTAAGACTAAATCAGAAGAGGTGTCCCAAATAAAAAATTAATAGAAGCACCACAATTCAGATACAAGGATAGGAAAGGACCTCAGAAAGCACCTCCAGGGTGCTGAGGTACCTCCTTTTGGGAACCTACAGTAGATAGTTGTTTTGCTACACTTCAAGTTAATGAACCATGCCCCACTTCCCTGTAATCCTGAAAGTGGCAAGCTTTGCAAACACAAGTGTTTTTAATTGGCAGATCCACCCGTCACATGACATCCCAGTGGTGGTGTTCCCACATGTTTCACACTAGTAGTTCGAGGTTGTTTTTTGTACGTCTGCATCAGAAAAGCTTTAAAAATTGATGGATACTTCATGCACTTGTACACAAAATCATGCCAACGAGACTGCAGACTGCGCTCTGCATCAAGGCGTATTGAAAGAAAACACGAGCGAGTGTGTCTTACAAACCCAAGGGATGTGCAAGGGATGTGCAGCTCCACATCCGAAAAGAACTCGTCCCTGGCTGGAGCTGTACTTTGCATTGTGAAATTATTCACAATTCATAATGTGCTCTATTAAATGCTGGAACTACTGATGGTGTGTATATATAGTGAAAAAGGTTTTCTTTATCACAAGAAATCGTTGACTTTCATTCAGTATTGTGCATACGGAGTTCACAAATCATGACAAATTGATTATCAAAAAGCATGAAATCCATACAGGAGTCCATCAGCTATCAAAGCAGCAAGGTTTATCTTTGTGTAATTTCCAAGAAAGTCTGAATTACTTACAGTTAGATCCTTTCATGAAGGGTGCGAAAAAGATTCCAAGGCAAATGGAGCGAAGTGATTGATTACAAAGAGTGAAGTACACGTACACAGCAATACCTATCAGACCACTCTCACAAACTGAGCAGTAAAGCAACAAACGGTTTAGTCAGAGCAGACTCCACGGGAGTAAGTTAAGTTTCAGAAATCACAATGTATTGATCCAAATACAAATAAATCCTTCACAAAAATCAGTTTCAGTCCACAAATGAAAAAGTCATCTGGCCACATCCCAGTCAAAATCTTCACTATATGGGAAAAACTTGCTGTCTTATCAAAGCAGACGCACATTTACAGTAAAGAATGGACAAATTTACAAAGGTCCTACTCCAATGTCTCCAATTCTTAATTAGCTGTTTTTAATTATTTTTATTAACAAGTGTTTCAGTATGTGTTTGAGCTTGAAAATTGAAAGTTATCAACTAGCTTTTGCGCTTTTAAAATGTGACTATATAAATAAATGTGTTTTGAGGCAAATACTTTAAAATATTGAAAAAGATAATCTGCACTAAAATACACTGCCACAGAACTAACGTAATCTATTCATCTTTTTAAACTTTTAAACTGTTTTTTAAAAGAATAAATTGTGATTTTGTACCAGCTAAGACAGTGTTTTAAGAATATATATTTTCTTTTATCCTTGGTTAGAAGTTGTTAGTTGAAACAATCTAATCAAGCTGTCTCTTTTTTTGAAAATATCCACACCTCAAGCTTACTTTTTTTCAACAATTTCTAAGTACAGCTACCTAGAGCAGTGTTCCCCAACCCAGTCCTCGGGGAACCCCGGACAGTCCATGTTTTTGCTTCCTCTCAGCTCCCTGTACCAGGTAATTGGGGTTCCTGATTGGCTGGGAGCTGGGAGGGAGCGAAAACGTGGACTATCCAGCGGTTCCCCGAGGACTGGGTTGGGAAACACTGACTTAGAGGACGCATTTATTATTTAATACTGGACATTAAATACAACAGTAAAATTAGTATATTCTCAGTTTTTTTCCATCATGAATGTGAGAAAATATGACAATACACATATATGTGTTATATGTAACGATATAGAACGGTGTGTGTGAGTGTGCCCTGCGATGGGCTGCCCCCCCCCCCCTGGGTTGTTCCCCACCTCGTGCCTGTAGCTTCTGGGTTGTTCCCCACAACCCAGAAGGATAAGCAGTTTGGAAAATGGATGGATGGATGGATGGATGGATGTAACAATACATTTAAACTGCCTTTGTTACGCCAAAAAATGCAGCACTAACACTGTGACACAAAAGTAAAAATCAGGAACAGAAAACGAAACAGAGACACTGGGCAGTGTGTGGGTGTGGGGGCCCAGATGGGCGCTACAGCTGTGACACTCACCACATCCGCCTCACTCCTGGCCATCCTCCTGCAGGACTTCAGGTAAGTGCGGATGCGTTTCCCCGCTTGCTCCTGATACTCAGGGAACTGGCGCCTACATGACTCAATGATAGCCTGGATCTTTTCTTTGGGCTGCTTAGATATGGGGACCTTGCGGTCCAAGTTCTCGTCTACAAACAGCCTGACAAACATCTGTAAGCGAGAGGGAGACAGAAGACAGTGGTTTGGTGGACAGCTCTCCTCTATTCTCCTGCCGCCGTCTTCCCAGTAAGACCGAGTTCTCCTACCTGTTTTCACCGTTCGGCTAAGAGGCCCTCCCCGCAGATACAGATAGTACTGCAGATGCACGCTACAGCGCCCCCTGTATCAGCCCGAGTAAACACCCAGGCGTGGGTGCAAATTACGAGGCGATGGGGGATTGTAACCCCCCCCCAGTAACTGGCCAATCCATGCCCCTGGACTCTCCAAAATGGGTGGAGACCTCAACCCCACCCCACCCGCAATGTTCAACCCAAAGTTACACCCTTGCACCCAAGCGTCTCGTACATCAGCTGTCATCAGAGCCTCAGAACTGCTTTAGTGAACCGGCGGAATGACCAACAACCTATCTAATACCCATGAATTACACTAAACTATTTCTGAAGCAATGAAAACCATTAACAGCCATGACACTGAATTATATACAATTAATAAAGGGAGCGCAAACTTTAATATACAATCATGCAAATTTACCAAACATGTACCCATAATAAAAACTCCTTTTTCTCCCTCATGTAAACTACTGTTTTAGTTATATAACTATATGAGGGCATTTAGCCAAGCTGTTTAAGTTGGCATTTTAGTCATTTGAAAAATGCTTCACCTACAGGGAAATCACACTATGATTCCTCATCAATGTTTTCAGGCCAAGTAAAAAAAAAAGGCTATTCTGAAACCTATTGTATGTCTTGTTCAAAATGCATCAATTTAAGCTAATATCCGAGGGATATATGTGAACCTGCTCTCACAAGGATGTAAGCTTACGTTGCGTCCCATTAACGGATTTGTAAAAGTTCTCCACTAGGTGGCAGCGTCTGGCACACCTCTACTAGGCATGTGTAGCTTACGCTGGAGAACAGCTCAGGCTTAGGGAAGGTTCACATACCACAGAAGCTCAGCCAGCCCTTCTGTCACCATGGAGACCAGAGCAGGATGCTCCAGCCATCATTCATTTTAATCTGCAGCAGACTGGACCTTCCTGTACTGCAGAAGCTGCATTTACCTGGTCATGGTTAAATCACATTTAAACTGCAGGAAAAAGCTACACTACATTTCTAATGTTTAATTAACAAACTGTTTAAGTTGTAAATCGTTATGAATATTTATAGATACAAATATATCAGATGGTTAATTCTAATGAATAATTCCATTATTCTGTTTTCTTCAAAAATATCTGAATAATCACAATCCTAATAATATTTACATTGGCGTTAAGGCCTCATCATGTGTTTATCTCTCTCTGCCTGATTCCATTGACAAACGTCACATTTCCTGGATATATATATATAGCTCCAATAAGGGCAGAGTCTCCACTGAAACAAATCAAGTGCATTGCAGTTCCTTTTTCCATTTTCAAATCTTTTATTTTATTAACTGAAATTAAGCGTCGAATTATTAAATGAATACCCATCCGTTCATCTACCTTCCAACTGTCTTTCCGGTACAAGGTCACTCAGTCCCTCTAGCCTATCCTGGGAGGCACAGCAGAGGGCCCTCCGGACAGGATGCCAGTCCAGCAAAGGCCACACACACAATCAAACACTATAAACAATTTAGTGGTGCCAATTTGGCCCCACTACATGTTGCTGGACTGTGACAGGAAGCCCACACAGCTCAGGGAGTTCAATTCGAACAATCAACTCAAAAGGCGACAGTACTACTTTCTGAATGACCATGCTGCCCTACGAAGAGAGACCATCACTACTTACTGAATGACCATGCTGCCCTACGAAGAGAGACCATCACTACTTACTGAATGACCATGCTGCCCTACGAAGAGAGACCATCACTACTTACTGAATGACCATGCTGCCCTACGAAGAGAGACCATCAAGTGGGTGAAAGTGTCAGGAGTCATGCGGAATATATAATTAATGGAGCAAAACACAAAAGATTTAGAAATATTTTTCTCAACTGGACTGACGAGTACACAGAGGGGCAGAGAAACATGAAAAATGAAAAGAATGAAAGGTGTAAGATTACCAGGGGGAAGTTTGACAATTTACTGGTTGTAAGGTTTCGGCGAGCTTAGCACGGTTTTCCATCAGTTATATCACTGTGTCAGACTGGCCAGACTGGGGGAGCGCTGTCCGTGTGGTCACCACTGACAGCACCTAATTATAATAATGCTCTCACTACCAGTACAAACCAGTTGTCAGGGTTTGTGCCTGTCTGGTCACAGTCCCCTGCCGGTGTCTGTCTAATCCTGTCCCTGTGTCTTTTCCCTGTTGGGCCAGCAGGTGGCACTGGCCATCCTGTTTGCTGTTTTCCTAGTGTGTTTCCCTGCTCCCTGGCCCACCTCAAAACTCAATGGGTTTGAGTGTGTGGCTCAGAGTCTGACAGCCCTCCACTCATTCGTTTCTGGCCAGCCTCTCCTTTTACTTAATATGTTGGTGTTACTTAATCCTTAGTATCTGGCATTTTTATAAATGTCTTTTCTTTGTGACCCATGGTCTATGGTCTACCCTGCCTGTGCCTTGCATTATTATGTTCTGTTTATACTTGTGTCCCTAGTCTCTCCTAGTGTCGATAGCCCTTAATGTTAATGCTCCTTAGTTTCCTGTGCTTGTTAATTGTAATTTATTCCCCGTTTCTTGTTGTCCCCTGTCTTTACTGATTGGTTGATTTTGGTTATGGTCCACACCTGCCCCTCGTTAGCCCTTGTTAGCTGTGTAGATTTAAGTGGCTGCCCTCATTCAGTTCTTTAGTCAGTTATTGTAGTTGTTCTGTGTGTTTGTAGCTGTGCTTCCCCCCTCCCCCCTTTGACTGGTACTGTATGTATTCAGGTTGAAATGTACCTTAAGTGTATTTTCAATAGAGCCACCTTACATGTTACTGTAAGTGGCAGCACTGGCCAGAGACTGACACACAACGGATGCAAGGTTAATAAGCAAAAGAAAAATGCTTGGAGGGACTTAATCTCTCTACTTGCACCATCGTAGACAGCCAGGGATATTAAATATTTCATTAAACATGTAGGATTTTGCAATTAACAGTAATGCTCTTAAAGGAAAATCTCCAGAAAATCACAAAAAGCTTTAAAAATATATAAAAGCCCTTTGACTAATAAGAAAATGCACAACACACACAATGGTTTCAAGTACATGAAGCAAAAACAAATTAATTATAGATAATAAACATGGCTTACCATACTATTTGTACTCTATGTACTAGATAAATCATTTTGCATACAACATAATTCCAGTCAAAAGCTACAATTTATGTTTGATCCCCAGTCCACTGAGGACCAATTTTTAAGCAGCCCCCAGCCCCAAGAACTCGTCTGCCCCCTTTTTCTCCAACCCTTGGTAGCTGTTGCAAGCATGTCAGATGAAGGTCAATCTGAGCATCTGCAAAGAGTCCTTAAAACCAGAAAACAACACGTTTTTTAGACTTGAAGAGGACCTTTAAAATAAATACGTATATGTGCACTACAGGTCTTTCCTAGCAGGAATTGGTGGAGTACGCTCCTTGTTATAGCCATGTAGTAACTGTGTCATCTGCCTGCAAGCAAATACTTTTATCTGGTTGCAAAACAAAACAGAGCTTTTGTTTAATCCCTGTATCCCGAGTGCACAAGTCAGTTTCTGCTATAGATCTTACTGGCACACTGGGTACCACCTTTAGGTGACAGAAGGCATTTCTTGCGAAATCCCGGTGCCGTGAGCTTTTTGGGCTCCCAGTAGGTATCAGGTAGCAGGTTGGAAAGTGACTGCAAGTCACAAGTAACTATACTGCCAACGTATACGAGAAGTGATTCACGTAAAGTGTCTCACATATTTACAGGCTTAGTCATTAAGCCCTTTCCCAATAAATATTTCTAAAATATTTTTGCTTGTTTTGACAGACATTCAGGGGTATATACAGTGTACATACATACATATACACATACACATACAGAGTCTACCCAAAGCAGTCTAGGGAGTGAGACTGGAATACATCTTTGAATAGATGCCACATTCACATATTTGCAAAAGTATTAGGCAGCCAAAGAAAAGCTATTTATCTTGGTGGTAAGTGCTTATTTATATTTGGTATGATCATTTCAAAAAGCATTATCTTCCCTTGGAATTGGTGCAGTGACAGACCACTGCACCACGAAGCATGACGGGGTGACTGGACTAAAACCCCCTGTCCATTTCTCATATGCTCATGGTGCCCCTAAGCAGTAGCAGTAAGCTCACTTACATTGAAGGCCTTAAGTCGCTCTGCTTCTGCCCCGTCGACCTCCATGGCCTTTTCACAGTCGTCCTGGTCATCCTGATCGTCCTCATCATCGTCAGCCCGGTTGAGGGACACGTCTTCCAGGCCTCCAGCCTCATTCTTCCCTGAGTCGTAACTGGAGTAGCTGTGTGCGGGTGACTGAAACAGACGTGAAGGTTGTTTCATTGCTGGACCCGACCGCGGGAACATCCCCGCATGGTAGCAAACACGCTTTTCTGCTGGCTTTCTTTGCGGATATGCATCTTATTACTCTCCAGTTAGGCGGCCATGTTTACCATCTCTGAAACCACGCACTTGTATAGGCCCCCTGTAGTGCAGAAACAGTCACTACACTAAATAATAAACAAACATGATCCATATTTAGCAGAGGATGCAGCAGTATTTTGTGCTGACCACAGGGTCACCAACTGTCATGCCTCTGGTGTGTCACTCACACTTCAAAACTCTCGCGGTTACGCAAGAAATCTTGTGGCAAATCTATATTATTCCATCATAAATCTAAAATTACCTATGTCAAAAGCGCTGGGGCAGTTTACAAACCCTACACACTATTTACAAGGTAACAAAACTGTTACATGCATGTAAATGTGCATGCAGACTTATCCTGAATTGAAAATCTCTCACTGGCCAGCTGACCAAAGGCTGGCTAGTTATGATCTTCTGACTCAGCACTGTCAGAAAAAAGTACCAGTTTGTACCTTTGAAGGTACAGTCACTGTGGCTATACCCTCAAGGGTCTGCCAATTTTACCCCAGCTCTAGGTACATGTAGTTTTTTAAGGTACAGAATTGGGCTCTGAGTAACATTTGTGTACCATCGGGGGTACATTAATGTTATTTGTACCTTGGGGAACAAAACGGCACCCGGGTGGTACCCTTTCTTTATGACGGTAAACTAGCTAGCTAATGTTAATATCATAAGCAATGATATCGTAGTTGTGTCGTGAAAAGAAATAAAATGAAAGATATTAAATCTCTGCGGAAAATGTACCGCAAGCAATAAAATGCCCAATGAGGATGCAGCATATTATATACACACAGCTGGTGTGTGTGTGTGTGTGTGTGTCAGTGACTTTTTGAGTGTCTCCCCAGGAAGAACAAACCCGCCCCTGATGTAAGGGGCTCATCGACTGGCTAAGATTCCTTCCTTGTTCTTCATTAATTTTCAGACGTGAAACGGGGGACTGTGCCTCAGGGTTCTGCTGTTCTTTTATTGCCTGCTATTGGGAAGGCAAAGCTGATTCTGTGCTTCGCGAATAATTACACAAATAAAATTGCGGTAATTCCACATGAAATGGGGATCCATCGCAGGGTACACTCCAGTGCGGAAAAAACTGCCCCCCTTAATTTAATCTTAATATTTTTTACTTCTTAGCAGTTAACCCCACCCTGGTGTAGTTACCTCTACTACCATGATGTAACATTTTTGGATGGAATTTATGATTTACAAAGAATTGTTACTGCGAGTCAGTGAGTCTGTAGTGAAATACATATAACATAGGCCTTTGCACAATTACACAAATATATACGGCAAAAAACTATGAATACAGTAGTATTGTTAATTACGATATCCATAAATACCGAAAATAATTATTAAACCATGTGAGCAGAATCAAGTTTGGCACATAAATTAAATTACAGAATAATTTTAAAATTCCTTGCACTGTTATGCTAAATTACAACATTAAGCACTGTAGTACTTTTCATGTGAGAATTACGAGTTTTTGAATTTTTTTTTTTAAATTAAAGACACAGCATTATATGAAATTATTATAATAATAATTATTATTATTTTTTCATTATAAGGCGGACAAAGAAAGACAATTTTCAAAGGCTGTCGGCTTAGGGTGGATAAATCATGATTTACTATTATTACTGACAGCAACTAGAAGTGTGGAAAAAACAACAGGTAATGTAGGATAAGTCCAGAACGGTAAAACACCAATGCTTTGTAATCCCAAAAAAAAAATGTTGCGACAATAAATACTCATCTCATAAGCCCACCACAGTGAGCCACACACAGGGCCCACAGCGGCTCACCTCACTTTCACCATGACAACAAAAAGCGTGCCAAAACAGAATGTAGTGGCAATCGTGTTAAAATGACATGCTTCACCCTTTTTCTCAATAGCTATGCTACCTACAACAGAAGAAAGGCCACAGAAGACCAGGAGGGAAGCTACATTCAAGATTCTGAGGTGATCCTTGCCATTAGACACCTGGCTATTTGGGTGAGCTACCACTTTGATTGGCAAAACAACAACATGCCCAGACTTGCACAGAATCATTTTTCTGTCAAAACGTATGTAGCTACCTGGCAACTGGAAAGAAACATACTTAGGTTCTGTCCTTATATATAAATAAGGTTCTGCCTTGGTGACAATGATGTGATGAATTACATCGAGTTTCTATCCATCCATCTATAGCCCCTCCTCGGCTTGCAAGGGAGTTACGTTCCGACAAACCCATCGTAAATCGAAAATATCGTAAGTTGAATATGAACATATGATAAAGCACTCCGAAAAAATTACTGCATGATATGATGTTAAACACTGTGTGAGATGTTTACACTAGGAACAGATCAAAATCCAAAGCTTCAAAACTACTAAATGTACATCACTATTGGACGATCATAAAGCTGAAATATTGTAAGTGAACTCATCGTAAAGCAAGGAGCATCTGTACTAATCTTCTGTCTATCTTTCTGTGGCCATAATTTCCGTAAAAACCAGTTGTATTGATCCCAGAGCAATTCTGAGAAATGCAGGGTACCATAGATGTACCATCCTTACTGTGAACGACATACTAGAGTGATCTCATACTCATACACACAAACACGCTCACTTTGTTGTACACAAAGGGCGATTTATAGCCACTGACCAGCTCAGACTAGAATTCCTTGCTCTAACGGAGAAAACAACACCAAGAGTCACACAAAGTAGAATGGAAAACTTCCACATATACGCTGCCATGGGGCTGGGGCAAGACTTGCACTCAAACCCTAGACTTATGATGCAACAACAGAGGGTTTGGAATCACTTGGGCCACAAACACTTTCAGTAATTTTAATTTTCCTGATTGACACAAGGCTATGTGATAGGTGATCATGCAAGCCATGCAGCAAATATGCCATCTTATTATATAATGTTCATAAATGTAAATATATATACATATAGATATTATGGAGGGCTTTAAAATAAGGTCATAAATGTGATATGCACGGGGCGTCCCACAAGTGGCACGCCGGTCACAGCGGAGTGCATCCCACAGCAGGTCACCCTCTGCCACGTTACACGAAATTGGCCCCCATTCTGACACGTCCCTTTCACTGCTCCACGGCGACGTCTCCTGTCGGCCGAACACCTGCGGTGCTGTGGGTGGAACAGATCGAATAACGAACTCCTCCGAGCACATTACGGCACTCAGAGGAGCCCACAGCCAGTGAGGCGACAAGATGTGGGTGGTTGACAGCACACGCTTTGGAAAAAGGTATGTGTCAGTCTTCTTCGCTGCCACCCAAACGGGCACGGGCATCCTGTCTTCAGGGAGAGACTTACTGCATGATGGGATATGATTAGCCACTCGCCATTGGCGTCAAAGTTTTTTCTCTATTGTCAAACTTCAAATCACGGTCGCATAAATGAAAACTGAATCCGTTCTGATGAATATAAGGGTTAATCTCAACTTGCGTGGCTTAGAATCAGCTGATCTTTATCCTTTCCTTTATGAGCATTTATAAATCCGACAAGTCATTAAAACTTTTCGCGCATGGAGTCAGTTAGATGGTCAGCTTTCCCAGATAAAGTCCTCTGGAAAAAGTGAATTTCAAATACCGTGAAGCAGGAATCACATACACTCTAACAGCACTGGGAAACATTTCTGTTCCAGTTTGTGTTGGATATCAGTGTATTGTGTTGTTTTGTAAATATATTTGGTAATGGGGCGTCTGTTTTCATCCATTGCAATCCAACTGCTCTAAATAATCAAATCTCATCAAGCAAAAAAGATTCTCGTGAACTCCCAGACAGAGTGGCTACTTCTGCTTTTTGATTGTACATAAACTCAATTACACTCACAGTGAATACACAATAAAACAAATGGAAAGCATGTACGGCGAATGACTCAAAAAAACAGCAGCTTTTTTTGTTTGTATAATATGAATCCATTTCAAATGACAAACAGTGATATGGGTACAGTGATCAATCATTAATCACTTCTCAAAATGGTTTTCGTGGTGTCTCAGTGAGTTAGAAATGTTAATCAAAAAGGAAAAAAAGATTTAATAGCTTGAACTGCAGATAGCTGGACACACACGTTTTAAGTGCCTGTTGTTATACTTTATAGTATATAAGTTATAGTTTATGCATATTATATAATTTTATTATAAGTGCAGATTACTGTAAGTCAGTGTCTCTAGCCTGTTCTTCTTTTTACAAAAAGCGCTTTGCAAAAACAGATAATGAAATATTGCTTTTATTCCATGGCACTGTGGATAATGCACCCCAGAGCTGGGGGTTCGAATCCCATCTCTGCTCTGAGCATGTGGAGTTTGCATGCTTCTCCTGTATCATGTGCAGTACAAATGCATGCATTCAAGTTAATATCCCTGCCATGTACCCTATATTACCTGGTTATGGTGCACAGATGCCTTTGCTCCTAAAAGCATTTTTGAAGGATGAAACCATCATGCTGAGATTTCACTAAACTCTAATTTGTTATCTGGTAAACCAGATCCTTTCTGTGGTCACATTTGCATTTTGCCCACAATAAATTACTTCCTGATCTCCCTGAATCTTAACAGCTTCCGGGCAAAATAAATTGAAGCTGCGTAATATGGATTTCACTGGCGAGCCAAAAATGAAATTCACATATAATCGCATATCGTTCTCTACCTCAATTGGTTTAGATATCGAGATTTCTCGGAAAATAGCATTTAAAGCGTTTAACCCAATTTACACCCTTGGAATTATTGCAAAATCTATCAGAATCTCAGAAGCCCACTCTCCTGGCCAGGATGGATGGATGGATGGATGGACGGACGGACAGATGGCTGCATGCAAAACTCATTCAAAATGTTGAATTTTCTTACCAGTGGTTTTTCAAATTAATTATTTTAATCAGTCCTTCTTGGCCTAAGTAAAATTTATTCAGTAGCTTGTTCCCTCAGTAACAAATGCATAAAAATATAGTTTAAAAAGTGCTAAATTAGCAATTTGATTGGCTGTAAAATTTAGGAAACTAGTATATTATCGCTCTTTTGCCATTCAAACGATCCAGCCAGAGAAATGTTCCTAGCATACAGATTCTTCCTCCACTTATCATTGTTTTTGGCCTATAAGCTTCATAAACAAGACTAAAATGTTTATAAACCGTGTCTGTTTTTGTTTTTGACGGTTTCCCCACCCGGCAGTCTTTTAGTGTAACCCAAGGATAAAAATGTGTGTGAATGCCTTGCAAATTACAGACATTACCTGTATCTGACATTATGCTCTGAGCTTCAAACACACATCATTATTGTTGTTGTTGTTGTTGTTCTAGAATATGGATAAATTTAAATTCTGGCAAAGGAAAGTGTTCTGTGACAGCGGAGCCTGGAGCTTGTACCAGAAAGGACAGGTCATAAGGGAGTGAACATCCTGGACGGGGTGCTAGACCATCACAGGACAAACACTCACACACATAGTCATACATTATGAGCAATTTAACATTAACAATTCACCTTAACGGCACAATTTTGTGGAAACTCCACACACACACAAGCACAATTTGATCCCACCATTCTGGAGGTGTGAAACCACAGAGCCATCCACTGAGCCACTGTGTTACCTGTATGATATTTATATAGAAATAATCTAAAGAAATGTACCAGACAAGGATGAAGGATGAGATATAGCAGAGTACAATGGGATTTGAAGGACAAGAGAACACGCTGTAGAAAATAATATCTGTACAATAGTTTTCTCTTAGGTAGAAGCATCTCTCTAATGTTGATGCCTATGCACATGGTACCATTACTGAACTACTGAGAAAAATCTAAGTACATATATAACTTTATATAATAATAATAATAATAATTATTATTATTATACATTTTATTTGTGGGTGCCTTCCTAAAACCCAAGGTCACCTTACATAGCACATAAAAGACAAACAATAAAAACTAATAATTAAAAAAGGAGTTATATAAGCAAACCCAAAGGTATTATTTTTTTTAAATGTGAGGCATCGTTAGCCCAATCTTCCGTTAACATAAATTGGACTGCAACTTACATATACTAGGAATGTGAAGTTAATTTTAATATATAGTGACTTTAAACTTTAAGCAGCTATTTTTAAACCTACGCTGGAACTTTATTTGTCCCTTTGCTAACATGTTTATTAGGCAACGAATGTCCATTTTTATACATCGGCAATCACGTTCCCATAGAAACAGGAATTTGTGTTTCATTTGTAAAATCTAGTTAACTGTTAGTTTCTACTAAGGGTGAAACACATTATGCTTAATTAATCCAGGCCTTTTTCCCCTATTCATATGTGAAAGTGTACAGTCCAAGGATTAAGATCACAGACAGTGATAATGTGACAATGGCTATGTATGGCAATATATGAAGGAAGGACATTTTTTATAGTGTGTGACAGCATTGCAGCCTGGTGGCATCAGAACATATAGCCAGACACATAGTAAACATGTAGAACTTAACATAGTATCTAGCAGACCATGGCTGTCATATAAGATGTCAAAATACCCATGTAAACAAACCCAAGGTTTGTGCCTGTAATGTAGAATGCCAGCATACAAGTGCAGGCAAACAATTGTGTAACCTGCTTTTATCATTGGGCCCGTTGTGGGAGTATAGAGTGAGAAGTAACAGTGTGAAAGGGACTTCCATGCAAAAACAAAAAAAAATCACACCAATTCATACCATTTCAAATCAGCCCTTGTTTTCTAAAGCATTTCATCTGCTTACATCATCAAGCAATGCTACTTTCCAATAAGTGCTGAATTCCATTAGAATTTCAATGGATTTCCCCTTCAGTCCACTGGTGGAGAAGATATTATTATTCCAGCTTCCTGCACCACTCCTCTGTCTGCCCAGCCTCTTCAGCGATTGTGTCATAACCTGGGGCCCTTCGCTGGCCTTTACCTCAAAGATGGCTGCTGTGTTTTAAGCCTGACACTGCCTTTCAACCCCATTTGAAGCCCATGATGTAGGAGGGGGTCACAGCTTTGCCCTTCTCCGCCCCCTCTCTGGCTATTGCTGCATTCCATTTGAACTGGGAAGTCGGAACTTCCCACTTTTTGAATTTTGACTCTGCATCCCCAACCCACCAAGTCCAAGATGGCCACGCCCCTTATCCACATAAATTAAAGCTGCGGTCATATATTGTTTATTAGCACTTATGCCTTATTTGTGTCTCATTAACATGTGGACATGTTGCTTTGGTGCTTGTATTTTCAAAATATCGCATAATGCATTGTTATCAACTCATATTGCTAATAATGGCTAACAACAACCTGGCTAAAACTGGTTTCGATAAATGGCTTTCCGACTTGTTGGAAAGGAGGTGGACATTTCAGGTCCAGAAAGTAAAAATCCAAACCTGGGTTTTGTTTCAACCAACCAGCTGAGCACTCCGTGACTGGTGACTGTGAATCTTTTTAGACTCTACTGGTTGGTTGAAACAAAATCCTGGTTTGGATTTTTACTCTCTGGACCTGAAATGTCTGCCTCTGCTTGTACTAGAATTCCCAGCTCAGACTTCCGAGGTAAATAGAAGGTGACGTTAATGTGAGTTGGGCAGTTGGGGGAGGTGACAGTATGAACCAAATCTCTGCTGTAGGTCTTCAAATTCAGAATTTATGCGCAGTATCTTTTAGCATCGGACAACAAGAGACATCATGTGCGGCCTAACATAGCATGGAGATGTCCTTTAGGGCTACTGTTCCATGTGGTATTACATTTTACATTTATTTATTTATCCAAAGCAACATACTTTCTTTTTCCTCCAGAAAGCAGGGTCCCTGGACCAGTTGGGGGTGAGGGTCCTACTTAAGGGCCCAACGGAGACACCGCTCTGCTGTTGTGAACCGGCGACCTTCTGATCACAGACACAGCATCCTAACCTACCGTCCCCCCCCCCCCCATTAACGCTCTCTGTGATCATAGTTCGGCAATCATAGCTCAATATTGTCTTATCTTCAGCAGAAAACGCTGCCCTAGAAGGTCAAATCATACTTACTGCTCAAAAATTGAAAACAATAAACCACTTAAATGCAAGTATCCTCCTGGGGTTTCATAAACCCCTAACGTGCATAATCTATTTTTAATTATAACATAAATGGCAGTATTGAATGCCAATATGAAAGCTTTATGCCGTAATATTTAATCCCGATGCCCTCCTCAATACGTTGTCATTACAAAAATTGAAAATAGAAATGAATTTTTTTTTAATTAATTTAATTATCTAGCTGGACTGAAAACACATTACAGAATGCAACTCAAGTTAGGGAAACACATAGATTTATAAATGTATTTGTTTGCTTTATACTGGAAGACCATTTCTGGGGGATGTAGTTTGTGGATTCAGTGGTCCAGTATATAAGATCTACGTTAGGCTCTCAGATTTTCAGCATAAAAAATAAATTGATCTCACCTTGCTGACATTGTCCTTGGTCTCTGTCTTCAGGTCTTGAAGTCCCAGGATCTTGTATTTGCTTCTGCCATTAGTTGTATGGTTGTCTGTGTGGCATGCTGCCAGCAGGGGGCAGTCACTGAGATTCAAGGGTTGTTCCTGCTGCTCTAGCACTTTGCCGTTGCTGTTGAGGGTGGAGCTGGAGTGGTTTAGCCGTGTCGTCAGTGCGTGGTATGTGACGCCATCGTTACCATTGATGCTGTCCGCAGTTGAATCATCTGAAAGAAAAGTCAAACGCTCGTCTGTTTATAGTGTTAACACGTAACCAGAAACACTGTTATTACACCGTGTTTGTTACAGACCAGCATTTGTTTTTGCGTCATTTCACTTCTGCATTATCTTCGCAGAGAATAAAAAGGTTATTAAAACATGACAAAGGGGCTTCATAAAATACTGTCAAAGCAAGAAATGATGAAATGCAGTTACAATAGACTAACTGGGAAGTTAATACAAATCAAGTTGTACCGGAAACCAAATCGAATGCACAACAATACGCACACTTGCATTTTATAGGGCAGAGCGACCGATTTCTGGTTTACGTGACGACAGAGACTCCGCAGGGAAGCAGCTGGAAGTGAGACGGCAGGGTAATAATACAGGCTGGTAAGTATGTAAAAGGCTGTAAGTGATGGATTGAGACAGAACAGGTGAATTTTCTGCAGGAGGGATCATTCGGGTGTGAGGAGTTAAAGGTCATTTGGAATTCCATTCCAGAGAAGCAGAATCCTTTGCACGGCCCACTGTGAAAAGGCCGTCATCTCCGAGCCGTGGCTACCCTTTTATCAGTACCCAGGGATTAGCTCGACTACCCTAAACTCTCCCTGTTGAACAGTGTGAGCTAATCTTCCTGTGTGAAGCAGGGATGGGGTTGCTATGGAAACAGAGCCCATTCTGGCAGCCTCGCGGCAGACATGAACCGCAGAAGTGACAGAGAAACACGCACTGGCCTTCCGCTCGACAAAGGGCTGGATCGTCTGCGACGCTGCCCGCTTATTAGGGATAGACACAGCCAGTGGGCTCTTCTCGGAGATGCCATCGGTAAGGTTTAGGCTAAAGATCACCGCGGCGGCTAACGAGGCTGCCTCAAAGCATGTGACACCCCCTCTGCTCCCTGGCGCCCCTCCCCCAATCCCTCCATCTTCGCACGGAGCAGCCGTAAAAACCATTACTTCTGCGAGGCCATCCTGCCACTGCCACCATATCACACTGTAAACAAGCATTTAAAGACCCGGCGCACCAAAACCTTCTGGTCTTGCTAATATTACAAGAACATCTGGTTACAATAATAATTACACATCGACAGGGGGGAGAGCACATGTTTGTAAAATAGTGGTTAAATGCAGATGCTACACAGATGATGGTCTTTGCGGTGTGTGGTTTTATAGCGCCGCCTCAGCCTACGACCTGCAGCGGAACTGATCGCACCTATTCCCCCCCCCCCCCCATAAGACAGCCACCATCCACCATGGTACCACCCACATTAGTACCCTTCACCCTCAACCCACACCACTACCTCTCCCTGGCTGCGCCCAAGCAGAGCTACCATTGTTTCCTTGGCAGAACGCTGCACATCCCAGCTACGTTCGTGTCCCCGACACTCTGCCCTGCAGCAGCATCCATGCTCTCCGTCTCCATGGTAATTCCCCTCTCCGTTCATCTGGGATTAATGCTCTCCTGTCAGGCAGCCAGTTAGCTTCCCAGGAAGCCAGTTTGAGGGGGCTGCCTTTGGAGCAGAGAGCTGGAGCCTGAACATGGGGGCTGGGAGTGGGTATGCAGGCGGGGTGTGGGTACAGAAGCTGGCGAAGGTGAGGGCTGGGGGCTTCAGACCTAGTTGTATGATCTGAGAATAGAGTCAATTTGAAGATACTGAAGTAAGGATGGGGGATTTGGCGTGCGAAGGTGCCAAGAAAGTGACTCAGCAGAGTATGCAGTGGAGAAATGACTGATTTAGAATAAGAATCTGGGAAAATGTAAAAAAAAGCAAAGAGGTCAGTCTTTTGCCTGTGGCAGAGCAGAGCTAGAATCTCACCAATCTGGACCTTTACAATTAACCAAACCTATCGCCGTGAGGCTTGAAAGGGGGAGGAGGCGGAGATCACAGAGCATCCAGAATATGCTGGATAACCACATGGTTCAGGGTTTGGTATCACCAAATATCTGGAAAATGCCACAAAACCACATCCACTGGTGTTATACATCAATAAGCATGCAGAATATGCTGGATAACCACATCAGTTTTGGGTTTGGTATTACCAAATATCCAGAAAATACCAAATAACCACATTGATTGTAACTAGACATCACCAAGCATTCAGAATATACCGGATATCCACAGCAATTACGGTTAGTGGTTTTTGTCTTAATTTATGTTCCTATTTTGTGTTTCTTTTTATCGCTGCTTCATTATTGTACTTTACTGGACCCTTTTTTATTTTAACCAATTAAATATTTGAATCTTGTTGTGTGGTATGTTTCTGATGTATTTGGGAAACCACTGCAAGGCTGGGCCATATAAACATTATTTTGATCATCATATAAAATTCAAATGGTTAGAAAATGACAGACTTTGTTAAACTAGATCACATCAAGGCAATTCCAATCAATGATATGGTATTCCTTGAAAGGACATCCTGTCACCAACGATTGGTTGACTGAGTTAGCAAAGCACACCAAATGCTACTGTTTTGGTAATTCACATCCGACATACAGTATCAGCAGACGCAACATACTTTTTAAAAGGAGATTTTTTTGTATTAACAAGGTTAAAAAGATGTTGGTGGTGTGGCGATACTTTGGGGTTTCACCCCAAACTAAAAAGAAATTCATCCATCCATCCATTAATTGCCGCTTATCTGGGACTGGGTCAAGGTAATGTAAGCAGAGATGCCCTGACTTCCCTCTCCCCAGCTACCCCTTCCAGCTTCTCCAGGGGGGGCACCCAGGCACTCGAGAGCCAGCTGAGAGATGTAATCTCACCAGCGTGTCCCAGGTCTGCCCCGGGGTCTCCTTCCAGTTAGACATAGCATCCTGGAGGCATCCTAGACAAACGTCCCAAACGACTTCAGCAGGCTCTTTCAATGCGGAGGAGCAGCAATTGTACTTTGAGCCCCTCGCAAATGTCTGAGCTACTCACACTATCTCTGAAGCTGAGCCCAGTCACCCAACAAATGAAGCTAATGTCCATCGGCATTCAGCTGGACTCTCTCTTCACCACGACAAACCAGTACAAATTTTCGCAAAACTTCTGATGCTGCACTTGCCAATCTCCTGCTCCATTCTTCCCTCACTGGTGAACAAGACGCCGAGATGCTTGAACACATCCCCTGCCTGGAGGTGGAAATCCACCCTTTTCCAGCCTGAGACTTGGAGGTGCTGGTCCTCACCTTGACTGCTTCACACTCATCTGCAAACCACCCACTGTACGCTGTAGGTCATCACTCAATGAAACCAACGGGACCACATCATCTGCTAAAAACAAAGATGCGATCCTGAGGTCCCTAAACCACATACCCTTTGGCTGCACCTAGAAATTCTGTCCATAAAAATGTGTGACAAAGGGCATCACCGTGACAGAGTCCATCACCCACCGGGAACAAGTCCGACAATGCAAACCAAGCTCTTGTCCTGGTTATACAGGGATCTAATGGAACAGAAGGCCTGGCACCCCATAATCCTAAAGCACCCCCCACAGGACCCCCGAGTGGGACATAGTCTTATACCAAGTCCACAAAACACATGTAGACTGCTTGAGCAAACTCCTATGAACTCCAGTTTCCTTGTGAGGGTAAAGTGCTGATCCAATGTTCCATGAGCAGGAATCTGCATTGCAGCTCCTGGTGACTCCCTTTACCTCTGGTGTCCACCATCAAGTCACAGTTCTGTACAACCTCCTCAGCAACAGAGGCACAGAACACAGTCCATTCGGGGTCAATCTCTCCAGCCTGCCTTGGAATGCAAGAGAAGTTCTGCTAGAGGTGAAATTGAAGATTTCCTGGACAGGGGTCTGCCAGATACCCCCAGCACTCCCTTACTCTGCTTTTGCATCTCCCCAGGCGGTGATCAGGTGACAACTCAGATCCTCTCTTCATCCGAGTGTCCAGGACATACGGTCACAGATCCAATGATACGACATCATGCTGCACCTTAAGATGCTCAGATCATCCTGCTGCAGGTTAAGGTGCTCGGATCATCATGCTGCAGGTTAGGGTGCTCGGATCATCATGCTGCAGGTTAGGGTGCTCGGATCATCATGCTGCAGGTTAGGGTGCTCTGGTGCTAATTGCACTTATGAACACCCTTATGCTCAAACATGGTGTTTGTTATGGACATACTCTGGTTAGCACAGAAATCCAAAAACAGAGGTTTAGTTTTGGCCGGCTGTTCCTCCCAGTCACACCCATCTAGGTTTCACAGGTGACAATTCATGATGGCATATATAGAAATACGTCTTAAAAATAAAAACTAAGAAAAACCACACTGAAACCCCACTAAACCTGAACAGGATTTCAAATCAATATTGAAAATAATATAAAAATAAATACTAAATTCAAAAAATCAACACTAGAATAATACTGTGCCCTATGATAAATTTGTAAATTTTTGTATGATTCATTTATTATAATTAGATTTCAGCTTGCAGTCCATTTAATTTGTCATCTTCCTTATGTTCTAAGCAAAAATGTGGCCTTGGAATAAAGAAATCATAGCTTGAATTATTGTGAGATAATTATCTATATCAATTTATGCAAAATATATATATATATTTTGACATATAGCCCAGCCCTACATCTCTGTAATATATAATTTTGCAAAATATAAGCTACAATTGTGTAGACTGATTTACATAACAGTGTCATCAGCATATTAAAATTTATACTGATATTTTCTACCCATTTTCCATACTGCTCATCCACTACAGGGTCCCAGTAAGCCAGGTCTCTATCTAAGGAAATACAAGGCATCAGGCAGGGGAACATATCTAGTAGGGATGTGAATCCATTGTAGTATGCATACATGTAGTATGCATACATGTAGTATGCAGACATGTAGTATGCATACACATTATGGACACTTTCAAGATCCCGATCTGCCTAAGCTGATATTGTTGGACTGCTTTTCCCATCATACTGATTCCTTGGTGATAAAAGATTTTTAAAAATAACAGGAGGAAACCAGAAACCACCTGCAGATACATGATTAGTATCACAAATGCCAATTCTGCCTGGTCCAGGCTTCCTAGGAAGATTAATGAACTCGTTCTGTGGGTTTGAAATTAATGCCGCAAAAAAAGTTTGTGGAGCTCTGATCTCAGCTCTGATCATAATGTCTCTTACTTTGGATGAATAAAGCAACATTTGTTTAATGTGATTGGCGCAGTTTAGCTTCTTAATTAGGTGATATTGCATGGACCGTGTGACTGGGATTTTGCGACTCGCGGGACGTGTATAAAGACGTGCAGCAAAGCAAAAGATAATGTGTCAAGCGGTGCCTCTGTAATTCAGCGAGATTTACATTTCATTCCCGCTACCAAAAGCGGAGGAGACGAGCCAGAAAAATCACGGGAGACCACGCCATGTGATGTCTCTTGTCTAGAACAATCGTGAGACCGTAAAACGTGCCAAGGCCGAGCATGTGATCATGTTTCTCCCGTTGTGGCATGAGGCGAGTATACTAACGGCAGGCTGGCCTAGCGGCGCGGGTGTTTACATGACCACTGGCACATGTGTCATGACAGGGGAATTCAGAGGTAACTTGGCTCTGTCGTTGCCATGGGAGACGGCTGCATGCCTTTAGCGTAGCAGAGGATAAAACGCACCAACAGCAGCATTTATGTGAAACACTTTATTTTCAGTTATTGGGATAACATCAGGATGACCCCTACATGTACAATTTTTAAAGTAAAAGTTATATTGGTAGGGTTTATTCGTATTTAAAACTATTATTCAGCGGGCAGAAATATCGGTAATTTTACCGTAAATAGGTTAGACCTAGGAAAAACCCACTGATAATAATGTCTTGAGGTATGCATGTATGTAATATCCAAAATATATATACAACATTTTTAGACTTTAACAGCATTATGCATAGCATATGTATGCAAAAATTGTAAATGCTTTTATAAAATTACTATTTAAGTAAACTATGCTGGATTAAATGAGTTTAAAAAAAGGAAAAAGCCTTGGATCATGTTATTGAAACAAAACAAGGAGCCACAAAACTCTTTTTGAAGACATATCCTTCGGATTGAGTGTGTTTAGGGAATTTGCTCTTCAATTCGGGCATTTTGTTTTACAGTAAATTGTAGGTTACATTCTCCTTGTACTTCACTATATATGATCTTTTGCATCTATCCTCATTTTGTCTGTGCTGGGGCCTTGCTTGTCGCTGGCAAGCTTGAGGAATGCCATCTGCATAGAGGAAAGTGCTTGCAGGTGTGGTGTAGAGACACGCAGCTGGGCTTGCTAAGGGCAACGTACCGTCCTGCTGTGCATGGAGAGTCTGCGGGCTGGCCATCCTCTCCTCCAGGTTGGAGCTCAAGTCCGAGTTCACTGCAGACATCCTGGTGGAGTCGCTCATGTCATACTCATCACTGTCCAGTGAGCTGTCTTCCTACATAGGATAGAAAAACCATGCTTTATTCGTCCCTGTGGGCAAATGCTTTTTTCACATATTTTGCTTTCCATGTGAAAGTGAGTAAGTTTTGGGGCTCAGAATGCAGGGTCAGCCTGTGTCCAGCACCACTGGGGCAACTGGGATTAAGGGCCTTGCTCAAGGGCCCAACAGTGGCATCACTCTTGTAGCCAAAAGATTCGATCCATCTTACCGTAATCTGCAGAACCACACACTGCCCCACACTAAACCCACAGAACCACACACTGATGCACACTAAACCCACAGAACCACACACTGCCCCACACTAAACCCACAGAACCACACACTGCTGCACACTAAATCCACAGAACCACACACTGCCCCACACAGATGCAGAATCCCAATCAGAGACAAAGAACGTACAGCCATACACATTTAAGCCATAACAAGCGTACGCATCAAATCTTAAATCGTTTTCCAAATCGTGTTAGAGACATATGTGGTCATCCTCATTAAATACGACGGCGTTCTGAATAATATAGCACGCTATTCATTTTGTGGGCTCTTTTTTATTTTTTGGTTTTAGTGAGTACAGCACAATTTTTCTGAATGATTTACTCTTAAATACCTCAAGTGTGCCTTTGATTGGGGCCTGTAACTCTAAGCATGTTATTGATTTAGCACCCAGAACCCATTCACTCAAGAACTTGTTCCCAAAATAGCAGTAGAAGGTAACAATAATAATTTTCCCAGCCACTTCAGCTATGACATCTTAACAATATTGTTGTAGCGTTACATGTTGTGGATAATGGATGACAAAAAAAAGAGGTACTTTTTCTCTTGAGTACAACAAACTTCAGAAGCTTTAGTTAACCTTATAATTCATTCCACTAACAAGATGTGCCAAGAAAATGGAAGTTATTGGTTGTAATTACAGTAATTTTAATAATTACAACAATTGTGAGCCTAGTAACAATTAAGAAAAAATGCAATTATGGGAGAATAGAGATACTAGCATTGACAGGTGAAGTACTAGCAGGAAAGGAGATCTGCTGCTAAATTAGATGTTGTCATGACAGTTTGACCATAGTGCTTTTATATTGACCACTGCTTGAGTCTTTGCTCCAGATCCAACACTTTGCACACAAAAGATCTACCCTCAGTGGAAGTTTCAAAACAGTCTATAAAAGGTGGTGCAGCTCATTTATTGAATACATGCTTCAGGAAAATGCAAGGATAGTCACAAGAGATGTCAACGATTTTGTGGGGGTGCTCCCCACTAAAATATAGATTAGTGAACAAGTCGCCACATTACCTCATCATTCTGAGCATTGAGGAGCTGCAGTCTCATGTGCTTCATGTAGGCCATGGTGATCGGCATGTTGTAGTCGATGATGCTGGTCACCAAGGTAGGGGCTTTCCCGTTTTCTGAAAGGCAAGGATCTTACAGAATCACAACATTATTCAAAACAAATATGAACTTTCTATTAATCGGAAATTGAAGTGTTTTCAAACATTACGTTAAAAAAAAAATAAAAATACTATGAACTTTCTACCTATGACAAATAGCATATATCGTTTTCCCAAACTATCCAAAAGTCATTCCTATGAATCTTTTCCGAAGCCAAAACGGTGTAAAGCGAAGAGGAAATTGCTTGTAATTTATATGCAAGAAATTTTTTTGAGTGTTCCTAGAAAGGAAAAATAACATATCAAATCATACCGAATAACACATAAAACCATAAATAATAGACCTTTATAAAGTAGAAATAGTGTATGTACGGTGTAGTTACACTTACCAGAATCGATACAGTCACGTGTCGGTTAATAACAGAGATACGTTCCGAGAAATGTGTCATTAGGTGATTTTGTTATTGTCGGAACATCGTTGCGTGTACTTACTCAAAGCTAGATGGTATCGCCTACTACACACCTAGGCTATATGGTGTAGTCTAATAATGACAAAAAATGTACAGTATAGTAAATACAAGATGATGACATTGAACAGAGTAATAGCATTGAAATACAGTAACACGGCTGTTTAGTATCATCAAGTACTATGTACTGTACATAACCGTATGTGCTGTACTTTTATACAACTGCCAGTGAAGTAGGTTTGTTTACACCAGCGTCACCACAAACACGTGAGTTATGCATTGCGCCATTACGTTACGATGGCTACAAAGTCACTAAGCGATAGGAATTTCTCAGCTCCATCCTAATCTTATGGGACCACCATATATGCTGTCCATCACTGACCAAAGCGTTGCTATGAGATACTTGACTGTATATCTGTCACTGGCTCACTCATAAACAAATTCTAAATGCTATTTTCGCTTTTCTCCTTTTATCGTAAAAGAGAAAATCCTCTTCAAATTTCTTTCTAATATGGGTTTTTCCTAAAAGCAAAGTGATGTAAATGTTTGTCAAGTGTGGTATACCTCTCTCTCTCTCTCTCTCTCTCTCTCTCTCTGTATTATATTTATGTTACCTTGTGGGAACCAAATGATCCCCACAATGTAATAAATACCTGTTATTTTGATGTTGTGGGGACCATTTTTCAGGTCCCCACAAAGATCTGTGAATGCAATCAAAAAACTAAAAGTGCCAAAAGTCCCATATTTATGATTAAGGTCAGAGCTGGGTATGGGTCATCATGTTGGGATTAGAGTTTTCCCCATGGAAATGAATGGAGAGTCCCCACAAAGGCATAATTATAAAACTTTGTGTGTGTGTGTGTATAATCTCAAATAAATCTATGGCAACACTTTACTTGAAGCAGTCTACATAAGGGTGACATGTAACCGTCATAAGAATGACATGATACATGTCATGCACATTAATGACACATTATTGATGTTTATGACTGTTGTCATAATGTGTCATTCAGTTCCAAAAACCGAATGACACATTATGACAACAGTGATGTTTATGACAACAGTCATAAACATCAATAATTTGTCATTAATGTGTCATGTCATTCTTATGTCATTCTTATGACGGTTACATGTCACCCGTATGAAGACTGCTTCAGGTAAAGTGTTGCCAAATCGGCATTACTTAATCATCTGAACAGAAACGTAAGACACAGTGATGTCCACCTCTGTGCTCAGCTCCTTCCGCGTTCAGATGCATCCTCTTCTGGCACTCGGAACAGCTCATGAGAAAGCGGGTGACCGCTTCACGGGGCAGGAAGGCGTAGGTCTCTGAAATCTGATAGGAGACCCTCTGTCACATGGTGCAGTCCCATTTCACAACGACACACAGCGCACCGTCAACAGCCCCGCGGTCATCGTGAGAGCCGCGGCTTCGCCTTAGACACCATTTACAATACTTATAACACTGAAGTTAAAAACGAAAGAGGAGAAGGATGGTAATAACATGGCAACAGCGACAATGGAGTGATTCATGAAGAACTCATTCAAGTTATACTGATAACATGTGGACAGCTGAAGCAACCTGAAAGCCACTCTCAATAGTCAAACATCCTAATCTGTCAGGAAAAAATGGGCACAGATATTACTGAACAGAGGTGATTGAGGTCCACCCAGTAAGACATATGCCTGTGTTTTCTCTTAATGGGGCTACAAAGATTCATTTTCCTGCATGTCCATCATAGTGAATTTCAAATTTTGACATTTTAGCTTTTATGAAAAGTAGGATATGTATTCATATCTTTTTTAGGGTATGTTACTACATTGGCTCTGAGGCTAGCAATCTGTGCCAACAATCGGAAGGTTGCTGGTTCGAATCCCGTGAATTCCAGGATTGATCCTACTCTGTTGGGCCCTTGAACAAAGGCCCTTAACCTGCAATTGCTTCATCCTGGGTATGATGTTAATCTACATCCAGCCCTATCAGGAGATCCTCCAACTCACAGGGAAAATTTGGGGGTTAGTTGCAGGATTGACACCTCAGCCACTGGGAAAAAAACTCACACCATTCCATTTGGACTAGTGTGATGCCGAGGTATCTCCCACTGGATGTCACTACACATGGGTGCTCAACCCTGAGATGGTCTGTGGTGTGGTGGGTGTGGCAATGCGCTGTAATCAGCGTGCACTCCTTACCTTACCACACAGAAGTCTCAATAATTGGAAACAGCTTGTGAACTAAAATGTAGAGTAAGATTTAAAAAAACACCAGCTGATCTCCATGCTGGAGGCATATTAATCCATTTTCAGTCACTGTTCTGTAATTTCCAGAAGATCTGATGTATTTCATATATTACTTTATTAATTCAATAATTGTCCACAGCTGAAGATATAACAGATATATACAGTAACGTAAAGATTTTTCTATCTATGCGACCGACAGCACACTGTCTATTACACATATAAATACACCTGCAAGCAAAAAAAAAAGATCGTAATTAATAAATAACATTATTATCTTCCAAATTTAATATGTTATGGTACACAAAATTTCCATGTACCAATTTTTAATAGTAGACACTATCAAACACTAGAGTATTTAAATATTTTTCCTTTTTTTGGCATTTTTACTTTATTTACTTTACTAATAAAGTTTTATTTAGTGCCGGATTCACGTCTTGGCAAAACTGTTCTGGGGATTTTGACCTAACATGCCCTCCAGAGTGGAATATGGGTTTAATGATAGAAATTGTTTTATACCTAATAGCATTATTTTGTTCTGTGAATGATTGAGTGTTGATACACACAATAGGGATAAACTTTGAATACATGAACTGATGCTATAATATTGTGTGACAGCAATGTCAGCAGGACAAATCTTAAAACCTGGCTATTTTGCAAATCTTGATTCCTTTGGCATGGATATTTGTTGGTCTGGAATGCATACGTCAACCTAGCTGGAATGAAACCAGTGCGATGGGTCATTAAAAACCTGTATAACAGCGTGAAAACTGGTAGGTAAGGTGGAGTCTCCTTATACTGGATGATCAGGGTGGAGGGTGTGGCAACAGATTGACTCTTATTTCACATCGTCATTCCGTCAGATTAGGGCACTTGACGTCCCATGAGATTTGCATTTCAACTTTATAAACTGTGACACCTATGGGAATGAACCATCAATAATGAGTAAAAAGTTTTTCCGATTCCGATTTTGATTCCTGACTGAAGTTCTGTAAAGATTTTACAGATTGGAAAAACAAACAAACAAAAAACGAAGACTGATTTTTGTAATTCACCATCCGTTAGCCCTCCTCACAATGTATGTTTCACTGTTATAAAAATGCACATGATGTTTTCTGTTCAATGAAGATGCACAATGCAAAAACCCACGGCAAAATGCTGACATGAATACATCCACAATTATAAACGAATCACATGTTATTGGAAGACAGGAAGCCCTCAGAGAATGCCGTGTAATGCTGTTCAGCATGTGGTGCGTGCCATTGCTCAGCTGTTCAAACACTTCAGCAGACATTGATGGAGCTGAACCCTCTGTTCACCCAGAAAAACAGATTCATGCTCTGGAGCATTTTCCTCTACTCTCAGCCATTGGGTTCTGTTTAGGCCAAAATGGGCTTCATGGTTGATTTTGTAGTAGCAGCAGGACGCGCCCAAGCAGCTGTCAGCAGGGAAGACTGTGCCGTGTTCAATAAAAAGTCATTTAGCATAAACGCATCACAATCTAGAACGTTTGAAGTTTAACCAATGAAATGCGTCACTCTCCTTTTCTATTTATGAGCTATTCAGGAACAGCCAGAGTCTAATTCTCGCTAGACTTCCAAAGGAGTTTAGTACTCTCTGACTTCCTAAAGAAGCTAGAACAGACCTGTCTACTGGTAAATGTCACTCACATTCTCTGGGCTGCGTTTTGTTCTCCGAAAGTCATCCAAACAGCGATAAAAACAAGCTGAATTCATAACTTGTTTTTACAGCTTCACTTATTCATTAGTCAACTTTCTAAAGGTTCAGCATATTAATATAGCAGTAAGGTCTGTACAGTATAACCCATTCAATAGATTATTCGCTTTCGGATAAATAAAGCACATAAATTGTTGATAGAATACATTTGATGTGTCTTGAATTCATTTTAAGTTACTAAAATACTACGCTTAAAATTCTACTTGTTAAAAATGTTTTCTTAATTTCTGCTAACCTACTCTTCTGTTTCTAATGAGTATTACTATTTAAGTGGTCTTCGGGTTTGACCTTAATATAACTTCTTTTGCTCCAATTCTGCTCCAGCTGGGCACCAATAATTGGAGCATTTTCAGTCCAGTTCTGTGCAAATGCTCCAATTATTGATACCCATCTGGCTTTGATTAAACTCACAGTGATAAAAACCCAACTGGGGTCTCCTAATTCTTTGGTATCACTAAAAGACTTCTGGGAATTAAATAATGCATTATAAGTAAAGTAAAAAGTTATTACAAATTTCCCAAAAGATTTTGTCTGCCATAATACTTGGCAATATCATCATCATCATCATTATTATTAATAATAATAATAATAATAATAACAATAATAATAATAATAATAATAATAAAGCAATAATAATTGTTATTATTAGTTACATTTATATAGTGCTTTTTGATACATGATTTGAGTAAAATCTTCCCTTGAAAATATTTTTCTTCCATCCATCCATGGGTCATGGGGGGCGGAGCCTATCCCGGAGGCTACGGGCACAAGGCAGGGAACAACCCAGAATGGGCTGCCAAGCCTTCTCAGATAATATTTTTCTTCTGTAGGCTAATTTTTTTTTTCTTTAAGAAATTTTAAAGAACTACCTGAACTACCTGTTTACTTTATGTGTGATGCTACAACTCATCTTAATGTAACAAATTATTAATATCTATCCAGAAAGAAGCTCTTACTTTAGGTAAATTACTTAATTTCTTTGTTTAATGTAAAAAGGTACATTGGTCGCCTTGAGGTAGAACCTGTTGTTTTAAAGTGCACTACATTCATTAATGAAATATAGAGGTTCAAAGTCCTTGGCATCCTCACTGCATCTCTGGCTCTTTTGAAAAGCACTCAGAGGAAAAACAAAGGTCAATGTGAATACAGGTGGATGAACCAGACAGTCAGTTTTACAAGGTGCTTCTTCATGGTATATGGCAACATTTGTGGGCAGCAGTGTCATTCAGAACAATCGAGCTTAAATGTGCAACCTTGTGTCCTTTCAGTTTGATTTGACATAATGTGGTCTCAAAAGATTATTATACAATAGTTCTGACCAAGAAATCTGATTGAACAAAGAGGTGTTATGTGAGTGCGTTTATCAGAGTATGACCAAACTCAGACATTTCACATCAGCTGTATCACTCTGCATTATAGGTGTATCTAAAAACATTACATATGCCTCATTTCCACCAACACGGAACCAGTGCCGGGCTGGTTCTTAGGCCTTGTCCACACGTACATGGGTGTTTTTAAAAAACGTAGCTTTTTCTATGCGTTTTGTGCACTCTTGTCCACTTTGCTTGACATTACAGTGTGTGTCGTTCACTGTTTACATTACCTGTTTTTAGCCTAGTTTTTTTTTTAGCTGTTTTTTTTTTTTTTAGCCTAGCAGAACTGGTAATAAGGCTTCTGATTGGCCAACATGGCTTTACAGTTAGAGTTTTATCCGCGCCTGTGTGTTTGGCATGCTCTTGACGGTGCATTTTAACATTGTCATGTGAACAGAGATTTTTAAAAACATTGTTTTTAAAAATACCCATGTACATGTGGACAAGGCCTTAGTCGGTGCCTTTTGAGAACCTGCCGGTGTTTCCACCCGTTTCAAAAATGAAAAAGTGAGAGTAAAGTATAGGTTCATATGTATTCCGTTTTGTTGGATTTATTTTGATCTGTTAGACTTGTCTCTGTTGCTTGTATCCACTTTTTTCTCCTTAAAGGCTCCCCGTCTGTGTGTGTTTATTCTTTATTCTCGCTCGTTGTTTTACCAATCTTGTACTGATCTTTGCTGCCTGCCTCATGATCTCTAAACCACTCGAGAGCCAAAATATTTTATTTATTTGACCCCCCTGGTCACTATGGGCCCCTACGCTGCAGCCTAGGCAAGCCTGTTCATTAATTGGTCCCAGTGGATCTCACGGAGCTGGTGAAAGGTTCCTGTTGAGAACCTGCCCGCATTTCCATTGGTTTCAAAAATGAACATAAGTGGAAGTGAGAGTAAAGTATAGGCTCATATGCATTGCCTTTATTTTGATCCGTTTCAGATTATACGTTTTTATAAGCTGTCTAACTGAAAAAAAAATGTTTTCAAAGTATGATTTGTTGCGCTTTGTTCTATTGCCTATATCCACTTTTGTCTCTGTAAAGGCTCCCCATCTGCGCGTGAGTTTATTCTCGCCCGCTGTTTTACAGCTGTCGTTTTGAGGTACGCGCAATAAATCAATCTGCTAAAAACTGAAGTTTGCAGCCCACCTGATGATCTTTTCGCCACTCCAGCGCCACAATATTTTATTTATTAGACCTGAGGTGTGGTTTTAATTTACAAATTAAATAATAAGTTGGCTAGCTGTTTCACTGCTCTCACCGGCGACATTAGACGACATTTAGACACAAAATCCCGTCCTACTTTCCCTGACGTTATGGGAACTATTTTTTTTTTGGCGGCCTGTAAATAATTAAATAAATGAAATATACTGTATCTTATTACTTTTACCTTACAAATGCTACTTGATGAACTGCTGTATAAAAGAAATAACGTACTCAAAGTCGTGAGGTTGTAGTAAGATGGGCCCCCACTGGCCGTCCGTTTTTTATTTATTAATTTTATTATTATTTTTTATAACTGATTCTTTGTTGGTCGTTTATTTGTTTGGGAGTTGGTGTTAGGTTAAAACCGTTGCAGAAGAACAATTCTAAATGTGTCTCTTTTTCAGCTTTGTTTTTATAACTGCTGTGTATTTTCTGATATGTGTATGCATGATGTTTCTGTTACACAGAGTCGGTCTTTATCAAAAACGTACGGAGGAAAACATTCTAATAGTAAGAACTTGTGTTATACTCTTTTAGAATGTGTCCCTCTCTGTAAAGTTACCTATAATCCATGCTATCGTGGATGAGTGAGGGCACATTGTGAATGCAGTTCACACGCACCGGATGTAATGTTTTAAGTTCACCACCATTGAGACGTGTTCCTTCAATGAGGTCTCCGCTGAGCTCTTGATGCTGCATATGACTGACGTGAATGTCTTAATACAGCGTCACATTCTGGTTGACTTTGTGTTACTAATAATAGTTTTATAGTTAATCATCGTATCGTTTCGGGGAGTGGGGGTGGAAGACTGGCCTACGGAAAGCGTAGCCCCTGAAGTCGTGAATCTGACACTGATGATATGTGACACAATTTTGCCGCGTAATCCACGTGGTTGTAAAACTGTCTCTTACCGCTTTGTACGTCCTCTTCTGTCCGGCGTGCTTTCGGGTTTTCTCGCCACTGGTTCCGTTCTCTACATGCATGGAGTAAATGATGTCGAAGAAGTCCTCCACTACAGCCACCTGTCGCAAGGATACCTTCTCATCCATTCCAACGCTATCCTATGAAACGAAGAAAACAACGTTTATTTTTCATTTGCATTCAATTCTGAACACGCAGTTCTGAAATACTCATCTTCTCATTTGAACTTAAAGGCCAGATAAACGGCTGCACGTAATCAGGTTAAAGATTCAAGCATTGAATTATCTGGTGTGCAGAGTAGTCGGCTGCTGTACACGAGACATTTATCGACTTGTTGACCAGCAGAATATGAATCTATTGTAATGACATTTTATATTCAATAATATGATTTATAGTTACTGAGCTTTGAAAACACAAATGCATTAAAAAAAAAAAGTACGTGAATAGGTTAATGTAATTGTTTCAAGATCACTTTGGGTTTAAATTTCAGACAATATGACTGTAGAATCACAGCTGTCTGATAAAAACAACACCTGTGGATTGACAAAAAAAAACCTGTGGATTGTCTGAGGATCTTCTGATCCACTACAGTGTTATGTCTACATCATAAAGAATGAATAGTCATTACTATACTTCCCCTTCTGGCTTCTCTGTCTCTGATAATCTGTTTTCACACAGTGCTTTTCAACCTTCATTAAGTATAAAAACTAAAGACTGATCTTTGTGGGGGGAAAAAATAAAACCTTAATATTTTATTTTTTTTGAAGATTTGCATTAATTAAATCAGCATTATGTTATTAAGATAAAAAGCTAGTTTTAAACCTGTACGTTGTTTGTTTGGGATCAAAAGGTTGCTAGTATGGAAGAAATGCTAGTTTTCAGGCAGTGATTTTTTAAGTGAATCAAAAACTGTTGAACTTTCAGGCGTCTGTGTTTTTTGAAAATGAATGGATCAATAGCTGGATAATTATCAGTGTATTACATTAAAATAATATATTCTGATCTTATTCTCTGGTGTGGGCAGTTAGTCAGAAACAAAACCCGATGAATGAACTGATAGATCAATATTTTAATGTTGCTGTTCTTTTACTCAAAGGTAAAAATCTCCTCTTGTTTTTATAGTCATGTACTGTTTACTCAGTGTCTCATTATAAGAAATTATGACAGCCCTGTGCTCCATATATCCTGGAAATTTCAGTCATTGCTTATAACTCCTGTCAAACTAGCTGTTACATACGCTATGACAGGTATTTTGAACTGCATTTATCTGTATTTTTTTTCAACAGACATGTCACATTGATATTATTAACAAACAAGACTATGATCACTTCCTGGTTCATTATGATTGTGTTTTCCGCACTATTCAAGACATACAGGATATTGAGTAAATTGTTTTAAGTTGGCATAAGTGATCCACCAGTGATTGAGATTAAATCCTAGGATTATTTCATTGTGTACGTATAGTCTTGTACTATGTACTTAAGTTATGAAGCTGTGTAAAATGGTAATCTAACTGCTTTTAGGATATGAGCCTATAGCAGGGTTATTCAAATCACGGTCCTTGAGGTCCGAGCACTGCTGGTTTTCCAGCCTTCCTTTACCTGTGAGCCAGGTGTGAAGCCTCTGGCCAATCAGAATCAGTAATTATTAAACTAACTACCTGGGAGAACTGAAAACACGGAATCGAGGTCCAGATTTGAAGAACCCTGGCCTATAGCGTACAGCAAAAAAAGGTTATTGCATCACTCCTATGCCCTGTAATGGACTGGCATCCCATCCTGCATGTGTCCCAGTCTTGTGCCCTGTAATGGACTGGCATCCCATCCTGCATGTGCCCCAGTCTTGTGCCCTGTAATGGACTGGCATCCCATCCTGCATGTGCCCCAGCCTTGTGCCCTGTAATGGACTGGCATCCCATCCTGCATGTGCCCCAGCCTTGTGCCCTGTAATGGACTGGCATCCCATCCT